CCCCCCCCCCCGGGTGTGCAATGCCCACCCACCTGAGGCCGGCACAGGTGCTGAGGCTGGCGGCAGAATGCTCGTGCCCCTCCACGTGGCCCTGGTAGAAGCAGTGATCCTGCAGGAGATGGGAGGGTAAGTGGTGCACAGCCCTGTGCTCCCTCTGCCCACCACCGTCCTTGGGGGGCGCCGCCCAGGGGCCTGTACCTGCCTCTGTGGCTGCTCCGCCACTTGGGAGCCGTTGGCCGTGCTGTAGGTCTCCGTGTAGCCCGAGCCCACCAGCTCCCTGGAAAAGAGCCACCAGGTGCTGGGGGCATGGGTGGGACCGGCGTGGGCGTGCTGAGACCCTGCAGGCCCGGCCTCCACTCACCTGTTCTTCCGCAAGTGCAGGGTGAAGTTGTGCCCTTGGGCCCCAAGGACATAGCTCACACTCTCCGGGTACCGGTCCTGAGGCAGGGGAGAGGGAGGGGTCCAGGGTGAGGGGAGTACCCCACCTCAAACCTGGGGGCAGTGGAGCTCGGCTGGGTGGGGATGCTGCCCAAGTCCGGAGTACTCTGAAACCTGAAAGACCCTCAGAGGAGGCCTCGGGGTCATTCAGAGTCAGGCCGGTATTACGAGGCTGGGGCTCTAGATCTCATTTTCCCCATCGGTCCACACAAGGGTAATGACTGGGATCCCCTTCCCCAGGAAGCAGGGGGAGGGGAGACAGAGACATGGCCCCGCCAGGCTGCCCTTAGAACCACTGCAGCAGAGGAGGTGGGGGCAGGGCCCATGAGGGGGCACCCCAGGGGAGAGCCCCGGCCCGCTGACCTCGCTGACCTTGGAACCGCCCCCAGGGTGTACCGCCCCCAGGGTGGGATGAGGGCCCAGGGTGGGGGAAGGCTTTTCCCGGATACTGAGGTCAGGAGAGGGCGGTCTCCACACTCACAGGCACACCCACGTGGATTTTAAGAATGCCCCCAGGCAGCCTTGGGGAACCCCAGGCCAGCCCCAGATGCCTCACAAAGGTGCGTCACCATAAACACGCCTCTGGTGAGCCATCCTCTCTAGCCTAGGAGGGATTTGAGGATCTAGCCCTTGAGTGAAACTGGGGCGTGGCCAGGGCCAGCAGGGTTCCTGAAAGGCACCCCCACCCACTAGAGGGCAGGGCGAGGCAGGAAGTAGGAAGGTGAGGCCTGGGGGTGGAGGCAGTCCAGGCAGCCCAGGAGGGCTGTGAGCCCTCTCAGAAGCCCGCCTGGCCCTCAGCCCCACAGGCTGCCTCTTCATAACTGGCTGGGCCCACTGGGAACTACAGGAGGGACCCCAGGCCAGCTTCCCTGGCTGAGACTTACCAAGTGGGAGGGCAGGGCTCGGCGAGCACGGGGTCGTGGCAGACGTTGGGGCCACACCACCTCGTACTGTTCCACATGGGGCAGGGGGACACTGGGGACGGCCACTGTGGGAGAGAAGGGGGTCAGCAGGCCTGTGGTGGGTCTGTATCTCTGCCTCTGGGGGAGTCCTCTAACAGCACAGGGACCAGAGATTTGGAGACCCAGTTCTGCTGCCCAAGGCCCAGGTGTCAGGTTCTGGGTTCAGAGGCCACAGGACCCTGCCCTGGCTGCCAGGACAGCTCCTCCCTCAGAGCCCAGGGCTGACCTAGACGTCCCCTCCCCTCCCTTGGGTCCAAGGGCGCACAAGGGCCCTCCTTGCCATCTCAATGTCTCCCATAATTGCGCCTAACTGGGGAGCCCACCGGCCTGCCTGACAGGCCATTCACCCAGCCCAGATCTAGAAGCTCCCAGGTATCCGACGACAAACAGCCCAGGAAGTGGGGGTGAGGCCCAGAATTGGAGCACCAGCACACCCTTTTCTGTGTCTCTCTCAAAGTGTTAGGCCAAGTGTTTCCATAACTGTTATCTCGCAAACCTCCTGAAGAAAGGGGCCCTGTCTGCCAGAGAAGTGACCCCCTCCAGCCTGGGGCTGGGACAGCACCGCACCCCAGCCCAGAAAGCTCCCAGGAGCAGCGGTGAGGGCTGGGGCCAGTAGCACACTTGGCTTCTCCCCACACCAGAGGTGGGTCCCCTGTGTGTGTGTGGGGTGGGGGGGGGCGGGGTAGACTACCACCTATACCTGGCCCCAGGCCATTGCTCCTCGGTCCTCCCTTCCTTGCCACGCTGGGAGTCCAGGTGGGAGTGGGCACTCACCCCAAGGCCCCGGGGTGGGTAGGGAGCCATGGGGTTCTCCACCTTGCCCTGAATCCTTGGCGGGACCAGCGCTGGCGGGACCAGCGCTGGCGGGACCAGCGCTGGCGGGACCAGCGCTGGCGGGACCAGCGCTGGCGGGACCAGCGCTGGCGGGACCAGCGCTGGCGGGACCAGCGCTGGCGGGACCAGCGCTGGCGACACGCCCTAAGCTACTTCTCCTTGGTTCCCTTTTGAAGTTTCCGCCTGTCACCTGAGGGCTCTGAGCTGAGGGCTCCCTTCCAAGCGCCCAACCGCTGAGTCTGTTCCAGAGCTCGGCGGGGTGCAGACGGCCAGGGGGCAGCCCCTCGCCCTGGGGACAGCCCCTCGCCCTGGCACTCACCTTGCAGCCACAGAGCGAACAGCGGGAGTCCGAGGCGGCGCATGGGGGACGCACACAGGCGTCCGGGGCGGGAACAGGGAGCGTACAGGGGGTCGGGGGTCCGGGGTCGAGGGTCCAGGTCCAGGACACAGCAGCGCGAACTGGGGGCGGCCCCGCGCTCGAAACTCGGTCTGGCCGCCGCGCTCTGCGCTGGAAGGGACCTCCCCCGCCCCGGAGCCCAGCCCCCGGCCCGCAGCCTATCGGCCCCTCTGACGGCCGGAGGGGCGGGGCTTGGGCCTCCGCGGGGGGAGGCCCCCGTCCCCCGCCCGGACGGCATCTACTCCTGGGCCCCTGGTGTCCACGAGGAGGGGGGCTCCCGAACGGCCTCTGGTGTCCACAAGGAAGAACGTCGTAAACGTGGATGGCACTAACGAAGGGGGCCGCGAACGGGCCAAGCCGGGCCCCTCCTTGCAAGTCTGCACCCTCCCCGGTGCAGGTGAGGAGCCCAGGCTCGTCCTGCAGCCTGGCGGGGCAGCGGCTTGAGTAAGGCTCTCTCTGAGGTTGGGGGGTGCTCAGGTGCGGATGTACCCTCGGACTTCCTGGGGAACAGAAGCCCACACGGGACCCAGTACCACTTCCTGCCCTGCCGGCCCCCACACTGACCTGGCCCCCCCGGGCGGGCGGGGGGAGGGCTGTCCCTGTCATCTGCCGCTAATCCAAGAGGGTTTGCCCTCAGCTCAGTGGCCCTGGAGCCACGTTCTGGACGGGCTTCCTGAAATGATGCACATCAATGCAAGTCCAAACCTCGGGCGAGGGTGTGGTGCCCCAGGCAGTCCCAGACCAGAGGTCAAAATTTCACAGCCCAGTAGTTACCCCAAAGCAAATGGAAAGGAAAGGGAAAGCAGCAGGGGTTGGCGGCGGGGCCCGTGCCCTTGCGAGCAGAGCAAGACACAGAGACGGTCTGGACGTGTGGGTTCCGTCCCTGTGCTCACACACAGCTGGATCAGGGAGGCTCATGAGCCCCCCTTCCCAGCGAGCTCACTTCTCTTCCTTAGCTGTGCAATTATTTGGGAACAAAAATTAAAAGGCAACAGTCCCCGTAAATTTAGGCAAAACCCAGAGCTGCCGCAGACGCACTCGCTCCGCAGCCAGCAGACCAGACCACCCATGTGCAGCCAGACCAGCAGGGGTCTGCTCCTCCTCCGACACAGGACCCCCCCTCCCCCCGCCACCAAGGCTCCTCTTGTCCCACCCTCACCACTGGCAACCCTAGGGTGTAGCGGGCAAGCCTGTTGCCCAGAGCCCAGGACGGGGACACAAAGTTTCCGGGTCTCAGGGCAGGGCACGAGGGCGGCAAGCCCAGGGCCAGCGGGCTCCTCAGCTCGGGAAGAGGTTAGCACGACACCAGGGCTCTGGTAACGCTGGAGGCAAATAAGCGAATTTGCCACTGCACACACAGCGGCCTGGACAAGAAAGCCGTCTGTGGCTTGTGAGTTGGATCCCCTCCATGGTGCCTGTTCTTCAAGGCAGCAGCTGGACTGAGTGTCCACCACCCTGCCTCCAGGAGCCTGCTTCCGGCCCCTTCCATCTGCCCCCCAAGACCCCCTGCAGCAGGCAGGCAGAGCCGAGTCTGGACAGCAACACAGGACGTTTGGCGGGTGGGCAGCATGGCTGGAGTGGGGAGCAGTGGGGTGGGGGGGTCACAGCTGTGCCACCCAGGGCTGAACCCGCCCTATGGGTTCCACTCTGCACTTCAGCGGGTGCTCCTCAGGACTCCCCCACCCTCCTGCCCAGTCCGGCGGCAGGACAAGGGCCGTGCTGCCCCCTGGTGCCCGGACCCCAGCCTTGCTGATTGCTGCGACACCAGGTGTGCACAGCTGGACACCAGGCTTGGATTTCGTCCCCTGTGAGACCTTGATAATCATCCTGAAGTTGCTCAAATGCTGCGTGTTTTCACCTTTTTTTCTTTTTTTGAGACAAAGAAGGTGCCCAAGTGAGCGAGGGGCAGAGACAGAGAAAGAGAGAAAAAGAGAGAATCCCAGGAGGGGCAGAGAGAGGGAGGGAGGGAGGGAGAGAGAAGAGGGCGCATCCTCACCCGGAGTGGGACACGAGCTCACCCAGAGCTGGGACACGTCCCCACCTGATGTGGGACTCAAACTCACCAATGGTGAGATCACGACCTGAGCCAAAGTCAGGTACTTAACGGACCGAGCCACCCAAGCGTCCTTCACTTTGTCTTTATTTGAGAACAAAAACATTTTTAAAAACTCACCCTATTCAATAGAAGAACTCACACAAACACACCTATGGAGGCACCCGGCCCGGTGCGGGTGGCTGCTGTGAAGGGAACCTAGCGCCCTGAGCAATGATGGCAGCTTGGCAAGACGCCCCTCGGATTTTGTATTTAAACGGTAACGACACACACAAACACATGTGGTTCAGCAATATTCATTCACGTAATGGCTTCTGAACTCATTCTTCTGCAACACCTGCTGGCCTCACTGGGCGGTGACGGCAACCCTGGGCGCAGATGCCGGGGGGCCCCGTGGGACGGGCACTTGGGGCGCTGCCTTCTGGCTCCTCTCTGCAGACAGACGCTCCAGGCGCTCCGTGTAGAAGCCATTGAAGTCAAGTCTGTGGGAGGAGAGGGGCTGGGCTCCTGCACCCCCAGGTGCAGAGGCGCCCTCCCCGGGGCAGCCCGTCCGCCCCACAAAGGGGGAAGGGTGGTCTCTGCACCAGGTGCAAGGGACACGCACCCACACGAGGGCCTCAGGCTCCATCCGGCCTCTGCTTTTTCAAGCAATACTGACACCAGAACTCAAACACACATGAAAATTAAACAACAACAAGCGTCCCAGGCCCTGTCCTTAGGATATCCGATGCCCAACACAGGACACCTTCCCAGGCAGGGACACCCCCTCAATCTCCTGGAAAGAAGCTGAGCCACTGCCTCCCCTCGGAAGAGCTGTGTGTCCAGGATTCACGGGCAGTGGGAACCTGACAGCCCCAGAACCACAAACTGGCTGAGCGGCCTGCTGGTCCCTCTCCCCACGGGGCCCCTCCCAGAGTCACCAGGAATGTGCCACCACACCCCCGCACCCCCCACCACCCGAGAGTGACAAGGCACAGACAGCCCCAGGAGCCCAAACGGGGCGGGTTTAGTACGTGCCGCCACGACCCTCACTGTGCGCTCACAGCCCACAGCAGAAATGGCATCCCCGGTCCCATCCTCCCTCCCGTGGCCACCCCCTGGCTGCTCATCTGAAAATGGGGGCAGGGGGTGGGGGCTGACGCGGCTGCCGTGCATAGCCTAGGGCTATGGGGGCACTGACGGGGCAGCCCGACACACGCTGGCGCACACACACGAGTGAACACAAATCGCTACGCACACCCGTCTGTGACTTCAGGGGGTGACGCATAGGAGGCTAAGGACAGACACCCTCACACCTGAGCAGACCCTGCCTCAGTGACACCTTCCTGAGGTGGCCCAAGGCTGCGTGGCAATGGTGAAGGGGGAGCCGGCGAGGGAAACCCGGGAGTCCCATCAGGCAGGGACAGGAGGGCGCCCGTGGCCGCGCGGGAAGCCGCCTGGAGATGACGCACCCACCTGGAGATGACGCTGGCCATGCTGTGCTCACAGTCACTGGTGCTGTAGAGGCTCAGTCGGGCCAGAAGGTCAAGCAGATGTGCTGAGAAATTCTTATCAAACTTGTTGATGGTGGCCTCGAAGCTGGAGGCCAGCTGCGGGGCGTCCACGTGCTCAGCCAGGTACTAGAAGACAAGTTTGGGCACCGTGAGCGCCCCCAGCCCGGCCTCGGCACTGCTCTCACCAGCTCAGCTTCCCCGTCCCTTTAGCTCTAATAGAAGAAAGGATCTGGGCAAGTTTTTGCGTGATAAAAGGTGAAAGAGGACAACATAAAGCTTCCTGAGACCACAGGACAGAGACACAGTCTGGGCAGCTGGCACCCTGCTTTGCTCCCACCCGCCTGGGGTGTTTTTTCTGCAACTCAGGTTTTCGAGCTAATGCAGCATTCTCTCCTGGCTCCCTCTCACTGGAGGGAACGGACCCAGGGGCCCGGGAGCAGGGGCCTGGGCTGGTGCTGCAGGGCCTATGCCCCGACATCCTCTCCAAGGAGGCCCCTCTAGTTAAGGCTGGGCTCTGACCATAAGGATGGCAGGGCCCACAGCCCCACGCCTGCTGTGTGCCAGGCCCTCCAAGGGGCGCCCACATCTGGGCGTTCCTCCCCTTGGGGGAACCGTGGCCTTGCCCTCAAGTACAGTGGGGCTGAGGTTTGGACAAGTCGAGCGAGAAGATTCTCTGGGACTCATATTTAATATCTAATTCAAAGCAAACTTTTTTAACCAAAAGAAGAGTGAAGGGCGGCAGCAGGCGCGCCTGCTAAGCTGCAGGCCCAGCGGTGCCGGACGAAGCACACCTTCCTGGCGAGCTCCTTGCGGGTGCGCTCCTCTGCCCGCTCGGCCTCCGTGGGCGGCCCCAGCATCGTGCCATGCTCCAACATCAGGCGGCCCAGCTCACCGTCCAACTTCATGCTCTGCGTAAATCTCTTGGGGTCAGAAAGAAACACTCCTGTTAGCGTCAACCCACCTGGCCCAAGTGAAGGGTGTGCCTCCGCACAGCCAGGCGGTGTCTGCTGTGCCCATGTGACCTTATGGGCGCCTGCCCAAGGGCTGGTCCACTGACTGACTGAAGAACGTTTCTCCCCCGATGGAGCCCCATGTGACCGCGAGAGGTCTAAGGAACCAGTTCCCAGGCTCCTGTCCTCTGGAGGTTGGCCAACACCTCGCATGCTCTCCACTGGCCCCACCGACTCAGACCCCCTAGGCCCTGAAGCCCCAGTGAACCCCCACCTCACCCCCTCTGCCTTCCAACACTTATATTCTGTGCCAATACTTCGGGGCAGCTGCTTGTAACTGAATCAAGTAACTCAAGTCGGACAAAGAGAACAGCAGGTGTCCTGAAAAAGGCCCAGAACAGAGGCCCACACCGGCGGAAGGGGACTCAGAGCAGCACCCCTGCAGACAGATGGCAGGAGGCGAGTGGGCTGTGGGGTGGCCGCACCTGCATGCAGTTGGTGAACATGACGCACACGGACATGAGCCTGGAGAACACCTTGAGTAGCTCCGGGTTGGTCAGCATGCAGTCCTTCAGACAGTTGTCCAGGAAGCTCGTGTGGTGGCCCAGCACGTCATCGATGTTGGACGCCTGTGCGGAGAGAAGGACCCGGCCTTCACCCTGGGAACGACTTCGCAAGCAGACGGACTCCGCGGGCCTGGCTTCGGCTGCAGCTTTGCACGTTTCTGGTCTGTCGCCATTTTTCAGATGACCCTGTGCCCTCTGAGGGACAACATCACCCCCAACACGCCTGCTCTCGCACACGCACATGCACACCCTCACCGTGCTCGTAGGGAAGCCTCTCGTGTGTGCGGAGGGCTTCGCTTCCTCCCCATCAGCCTGCGACAGGCGCTGCTCTCACCCCCGACCCCTGACCTGCTAACGCTCCCTCCTCAAGAACCCGCTGGAGCCTCCTCAACGTTCCGACATGCCAAGCTACGACTCACAGACTTCAGGTTCTTCTCGAGGACGTGCCAGGTCGGCTCCATGACTTCAAACATCATGTAGTACTGAATGTTCTGAACAAAGTTGAGCATCCGCTGCCGCAGAGTGAAGGCGCCGGCAAACCTGAGCGAGCACACGGTTTCAGCGCAGATGACAGGGAGTCGGCGCATCTACAGCATGTGGGGGCCACCCGCCTTGTCGTCAGGGCGTCTGCTCTGGGCTCATGCCCCTCCACAGGGGCCCACACGCGGACACGAACACCACCAGCGTGTGGGGCACCCCTGGCCGACAGTGAGCAGCTGCATGTGAGCCAGCAGGAGGAAGCACATGCCCCCAAACCTCGAAGGGCTCACGCTAACGGGCCCGACCCCCCACGTCTGCACAGACGGCTGAGGGACAGAGCCAGTGACCACCGCGGTCGGCAGTGGCCCTGCTCCGCAACGTGAAACGTGTCACGGGTCTATAAGCTACAAAGGTGTGCGACAAATTGCCTTTTTGCAAGAGGGGAGCGCGTGCGCGCAGACGAGACGCACCACTTAGCGGAGTGCAGGGAGCACTGCTTGGCGGCCTTGTTGCCGATCCAGACGTTGCAGAGTTGCCGCTCTACGTGCTTGCAGTAGAACATGTGCCTGAAGAGCATCTGGTAGCGGGTCAGGGCTTTCCTGCAGGGAGCGGGAGGAGACAGGCACGTAGGTAGGCTTCTGGGCGGCACCAGAGCTCATGAGGCTCGCGGCAGATGGCGGCCTGGGCTTCGGCGGCACCGAAGCGGTTCTGCGCTCCGGCCACCAGGCGCCAGGCAGCCCACCCTGGACGCAAATGGGTGTGGAGGCGCCTTGGACGTCCTGCAGAACAAGGCAGGTGCCGGGCGGATCCAGTCCCTTCCTCCTGGCAGACCTGCTGTAAGGTCCAGAGACGCTAGTGCTGGAAGGGTCAGGAAGGACCAACGCTCACCTATTGATAATCAGCGACAGGGGCCACTTGACGACGTAGTCGAAAGAGAAGGCCTCGAGGCCACTCAGCGTGAGCTCGGTGGGGTCGGCATGGACCATCGCCTTCTCCTGCTTGGTCTCGATGGCCAGAACCCGCAGGAGCTGGGTGATGAGGTCATGAGGCATCAGATCGATCTTGGGAAAGACCGAGAGAATGGCGTCGAGTCCTGACCACGGCACCAATCCAGCTGCAGCACAGGCCGGAGAAGCAAGTCCCTGCGGTGGACTCCGTCTCCGAGCCCAGCTTGCAAAACAAGCGCCTGCCAAGAGACCCCCACTCAAAAAGGAGGCGTCTTTCCTCCACCAAAGTAGGAAAACAAACGTACAGAGAGATCATTTAAGATATACCTGACGATATAAATGAAAAGCTATGAAGTCAGAAAGGCCTAAATCCCTCCAGATTTACAACTTTACCGCAGGTGCCAGGCTCAGGCTGAAAGAGAACGTATGTGGGTCTGAAAACACAGTACAGCTGACCCTTAAACAACGTCGGGGGTCAGGGCGCCAACCCGCCGTTCAGCTGAAAATCCACGCGCAACTTCTGACTTCCCCTACCCCCGACTACCGATAGCCTACTGCCGACCGGAAGCCTTTCCGGGACAGCTGATGGACGCACGCTTTGCGTGTCATACACCATACACAGTGCGTCCTCGTAACAAAGAAAGCTAGAGACAAGGAAACGTCACTGTGCTGCATGTACCATAAAACACCCACGTGCGCACACGCGGGCTGCGGGTATCACTGTCAAGAGTTGGTTCCTCCCGTGTCTTTACCTCAAATGTCTTTCTCAGGCAGCTGCTCCAGCTCTCGGGACACGGGGAGCGGCCTGAAAGGTGCTTCCCCCCGCCCCCTCACCCCCAGCCCACCTTGAGATCGTCCTTGAAAGGGTCCGTGTTGGCAGTGCTCATGCGCAGGGCCAGCTCCAGCAGCGCCTCCAGGCGGGTGGGAGTGATGTCGTCCACCGGCTTTTTCAGCTCCTCCTCGGTGAGGTCCATGAAGTGCACGAAGAAGTCCCCCTGGTCCATCAGGAAGTAGCGCTTGATGGACCTGCGGGCGGACGCAAGGTCATCGGGAAGACTGGCCGACGCGCACAGCGGCCCGGACTCGGAGAGAGGCAGGCGTCTGACGAGGAAGAGCTGCGTGCTTGCAAAGGGCTCCCACCAGAACCAGCGGTTTTGATGATGGGGGCGGCGGGGGGACAGGGGGAAGCCAGGAGGGGCCACACGGCCCAGGAAGGACATGTCAAGCACAAGGCCTGCCAGCGCCCCACACCAGGAAACATGTTAGAAAGGGGAGACCAGCAGTCAGCTTCAAACAAATGGCAACAAACAGCTCTTAGGCAGGGGCAAAGAACTCAGTGCCCGGCTACGCTGCCTGGAAGGGGCTGGTGGGGCCGGGGGCAAGACTGGGAGGCTGTGTCACTGCAGACAAGGTGACACAGGCAGACACTGCCCTGCTGGGCCTCGGGGAGTTAGGACCACAGTGGCAGGGTCACAAATGTGCAAGGTTCTCAGGCTGTCTTCTCAGGCAGGACAACCTGGCAGTGTGCTGGTTTTTACGTAAATAGGACAGAGCCACTAAAAGTTAATTCGTGGCCTTGGTCAGACACCCTCGATGGTTACGCATGCTGAGCTAGGAGGCCAAGGACAGACGGCACACCTCAGGTGCGCCACAAGCTCCTTCTCTTCCATCAGGAAGGCCAGCAGGACCTTGCTGGCATAGTTGAAAGCCTTCTCGATTTGCTCAACATATGCCCGCTCCTTCAGAGTGTAGATGATCTCCTTGGCCACTGGGCAGGTGACATCGTGGCCACACTCTCGGACTACATTCAGATATTTTCCTGAAAAGACAGGGAGAAAGCAAATTAAAATTTTCACCATAAGTACAATAAACCACAGACCTGAACCTCGGATGCTGTAACCCAAACAGTAGCTAGAGAACCGGAAAGAGAGGTTGAGAACAGCCTACAACCCTCTACACGTGGCAGAGAAACACAACCAACTGACACCCACGGAGCACAGAAGCGCTAAGTGCTAGAACAGGCTGGACTCTCCAGATCTTCTAAGAACACAGAAATAATTTCAAAAATATTTCAGAGAAGGAGATTCTAAACCGTCTTCCGACCCTGTCCTAGACAGCACAGCTCCCAGAACCAAAGTGCCGAGTTCCCGGCCAGCAGCGTGTCAGGTACGTCGGTCCATGTGATGGTGACAGGAGCATCACTGGCCCAGTGAGGCCTGCATCCTTGGCTGTTTTCCTGTCATGGTATGAGACCAACCCAGTGAGAAACAGATCTTTGGTCTCTGTCCCTGGTTGCTGGTGCTGAACTCCTAAAACTCTTGGGATTTTGTTACTCGTGAAGCCCCTTCTGACCACACCTGAGTTCAGGCCAGCGAGGGACTCTCGGCAGCTTCCCTAGACGGCTTCAGGGTGAGGGCTGGTGGCCAGGGACCCAACCCCGTCATCACCGCCCACTGAGGTCAGGATCGGGAAAGGCTGAATAAATCACCAACGGTCAATCATTTCATCAATCATGCCTGCATAATGGGACCTCCATAAAATTCCTAAACCAAGGTGTCTGAAGAGTTTCCAGGGAGGGGTACACATCCACACGGGGATGGTGCACCCCAAATCCACAGGCACAGGAGCCCCTGTGCTCGGGACCTGCCCAGACCTCACCCCACGGGACCCTTCACCTGGCTGTTCGCTTGTATCCGTTATAACACACTGGTAATTTAGAGAGTAAAGCGTTTCCCTGAGTTCTGTGAGCCGTCCTCGCAAACGGTCGCACCAGAGGAGGGGGCCATGGGAGCCTCCCATTTGCAGCCACTCAGACACGACCCAGTACTCGCTGATGTGTGTGCCGCCCCAAAGGACTGAGCCTCAAACCAAGGAGCCCGCCACAAACCCCGGGTGGATGGGATGAGGGCTAATTTACAGGACGCCCAGCTTGTGTCCACAGAGAACAGGAGAGCGGGACGCCGGTGTGGAAAAGCCCCGCGTCTGGGGTCAGCTGGGAGCAGGGAAGCAACTTTCCTGTCAGTGATAACAGAATTCTAGAAGCGAAGTGGCAAAGAAAAGGCGTCTCTGAGACAAACCCCCAGGGTCAGGGCACAAAGCAACGGCACCCAGAGCCACAGGAGTCGGACGGGACGGTCGCCAGGCAGGGAAGGCACCACCGGGTACAGGGCCGTGACGGCAAGGCCACAGGCAGAGGCACACCGGGGCCGCAAGGCTCACCCGTGCTGAGGACCTTGCCTGCCATCTTCTGCAGGAAGGAGGGGATCTGGTGCTGCACGACGGTGTACCTCTGGTCCCAGTACTTGTCGTTGTAATCCTCCTGGATCTTCTCCTTGCGCAGCTCGTGCTCTTCCACCATGAACTCGCTGCAGGCACAGCAGACGCTCTCGGGGTCTGGCCGACCAGAGCCCCCCCGCCCCCGTCGGTCCCCGGCTGTCAGCAACGGTGAACCCACCCACACCCCCGGGGGCAGCTGTTTCAACCGGGGGCTCGGAGAAGACCCGGAGCCACGGGGCCACAGGGGGACCTCTACCTCCACCCCTCCCAGGGGAACTCGGCACTTCCCTCCATCACAGACACGGACAACGCACGACCCCAACAGCAGGGGCGCGACCCCAGCACACCTTCTTCAGATACCACTCTCGCAAGGCAGGATTTTAAAACTTGTTTTTTCAAGTTTACTTAAAACTTTATTTTATGCGAGAGACAGAGAGACAGGGAGAGTGCGAGCAGGGGAGGAATAAAGAGAGAGGGTGAGAGAGAATCTCAAGCAGGCTCTGTGCTGTCAGCCTGATGCGGGGCTCGAACTCACAAACCCTGGGATCATGACCTGAGCCAAAACCAAGAGTCGGACGCCCAACCGACGAGTCCCTCAGGCGCCCTGCGTGAGGCACAATTTTAAAATCGTGTTCCTGGGGCGCCTGGGTGGCGCAGTCGGTTAAGCGTCCGACTTCAGCCAGGTCACGATCTCACGGTCCGTGAGTTCGAGCCCCGCGTCAGGCTC